AAATGGCCTATTAGCTTGCGACCGTCGATTTGATTGACAGATTAGAGACAAGGTCAAGGTCCTTCCAGTACAGTAAATCAAGGCGCTCTGCGCCAGAGGTTTTTTCTCGTGGCTTCGCCGCTCGTGTCGAGTCGGGCTGCGGCCGACGAAGCTCCTGATCGCACGCGAGAAACAACCTCTGGTACCCAGGGTAGCGGGTCACTACAAAGACTTGGCAGAAACCGGAAATCGCGCTAGAAAAGTCTCTGGCACCCAGGGTAAGGGTAGCGCAGTAGGCGCTTAGGAAATACATGGGTAGATAGATAGATAGATAGATAGATAGATAGATAGATAGATAGATAGATAGATAGATAGATAGATAGATAGATAGATAGATAGATAGATAGATAGATAGATAGATAGATAATCTTTATTTATCCACGGTACAAAATTCGTCAGCTTTAAAAATGCCTAATACTAATATAATAAAAATATTTAAATAAAAAAGCTGCTTTCCACGAATGCCGTGCCTTACAGTTCTTTGAGTAGTCGTTTAAATTGCCCAAGGGACTCTGCTTCCCTTAAGTTACAAGGAAGACTGTTCCAGAGAATGGCGCCACTACAGCTGAAGCTGTTTTTGTAATAGTTTGTGCGCGGGAATGGAACATTGAGTTTATTTTCAGAGTCCCTTAGGTTATATGCGACTTCTCGCCTTTCAAATTTAGAACTAAGATAGTTTGGAGCCAACCCGTGCAGAGACCTGTAAACCATCGTAGCTCTTTGAAATTGTTGCTGGCAAGCTAGGTTTTTCCACCCTAGAAGTTTGAAAAGGTGACCAGCATCTACGTCATAGCTTGAGTAGGTCAAAACACGGGCTGCTCTGTTTTGTAGCTTTTGAACCTTATTCAGTAAGGTTATCCCTCAGTTTCCCCAAACAATGTTGCAATAATCAAAGTGTGGCTGTATTAAAGCTTGATATATTAGTTGTAAGGTCGCCTGAGGGACAAGGTGCCTTATTCGTTTTATGGCCCCAATACCAGAAGCGACTTTCTTTGTTACTTTCTCGATATGGCCACTCCAATCAAGTCTGTCATCGATGGTCACTCCAAGTGATTTTGCAGTAGTGACCTGGCTAACTTCAAAATCATTAATTGCAAATGTCGGGGACTCTGTGAGAGTACTTAGCCTCTGCCTAGATCCGATAATTCGGTTTTAGTCATATTTAGAGTAAGTTTGTTTGCTCTCAGCCAATTGTGAACATTTTCTAAATCTTGATTTAGATGCAACTGAATATTGTCTGCAACGTAAGGTGGATGTCATCAGCGTACATCCTCGGCTCACAATTTGAAAGACAGTTTGGAAGATCGTTGATGTATAACAGAAATAATAATCGTCCCCTGGGGAACACCACAACTTAATAAACAGCTTTGAGAGAGCGATCCGTTGATGGAGCACATTTGAGTACGATTCTCTAAATACGACTTAAACCATTGGTGCGTGTTACCATATATGCCGTAATTGCTTAATTTTGATAAAAGGATCTCATGGTCAACTGTGTCGAAGGCCTTTTTGAGATCTAAGAAAACAACGGCGTTGATTTTACCGCGGTCAATATTGTACGCCCAAGTGTCCGTGGCCTCAAGGAGAGCCGTGGCAGTTGAGTGAATAGCGCGAAAGCCTGATTGATATTTACAGATTATATTGTGCTCTTCTAGGTAGGCATATAATTGATCATAGACGATTCTTTCAAAGACCTTGGCCATAACTGAGATCACCGAAATTGGACGATAATTGTTTAAGTCGTCCCAATCGCCTTGTTTAAAAAGTGGGGTGACCTTTGCGCATTTCCAGTCATCCGGAAATATGCCTTGACTTATTGACTGGTTAAAAATATCACGGATAGGAATGCAAATGAGATCTGCACATTCCCGAATGAGCCTAGCAGATATCTTTTCAAGGCCAGCTGCCTTTGACTTATTTAGACGATTCAAAAGTGAGAGAACTTTATTTGCACTGGTCGGATGGAGTTGAAACCGTTTATCTGTGCCAGTGAGGTACTTTTGATAACCATCACTATTTGAGGAATCAATATTGCTAGCAAGTTCTGGATCGATAGTAGCAAAGTGATTATTAAATTGGTTCGACAGCACAGTTGGATTTGTTATTGATACTCCATTTACTTTCAGAGATGTCACCGATTTTTTCCCAGATTTTCGCGAAGTAAGTTCATTGATAGTCTGCCAGGTCTTTTTAGAATAGCCCGTATGCTTGTTAAAACTATTTTGATAATAGGCTTGCTTGGCTAATCTGATTTCGCTATTTACTATATTGCGTTGTTTTTTAAAAAGTGACCAGTCATTTGAATCATTCGATTTACTTGCTTTAATCTTTAGAATATCCCGATCATGCATTCGTTTCTTAAGCTCAGATGTAATCCATGGGGAACTACGCGTGCGAACACGCATTGTCCTCAAGGGAGCATGCTTGTTAACAATAGATAGAAACGAGCATTTCCATTGTAGGCACATTTGATTGGGATCAGTTGAATTGTATATGTGATCACAACAATGAGATGCAATATCATTCCGAAAATTTATTCGATTAAATTTTCGAAAGTTTCTGTAGGTTATAGCATTGTGCCCACCAGATATTCCATTCACGGATAATTTTCGATAGGCAAAAACTATGCTATGATCGCTAATACTGATATGACGAACCCCCGAACACACAACTTTATCTGGACAATTAGTATAGATTACATCAATCAAAGTTGCAGAAGTCGGAGTTATTCTGGTTGGTTCAGTGATAAGTTGCTGTAGACCATAAATATCAGTGATACTAAATTTGCATGTATTATTGTCACATCGAGTAGCAATCATGTCGTTAGAAAATATTCAATATTTTTGGAATCGAGTTTCCCAATTTAAGTTTCGAAAGGTGAAAAAATACCAACAGGAGAATCAGGTGGTCTATACCACGTGGCAACAACAAACGGTTTAGATCTAGGTTTTTGAATTTCCAGACATAGATTTTCAAGAGTGTCCATGTTTAAATCATTTCGTATGGTAAAATTTATTAAACTTTTCACATAGAAACACACTCCTCCTCCACCGTTTGTAATTCTATCACGTCGAATTATATCATAGCCAGAGATGTTGACCTCATTGTCGTTAATAGTTTCATTGAGCTTAGTTTCATTAATCGATAAAATATCTATTTCGTTATGCGCTAGAAGAATTCTAAGTTGATCAATGTGTGTGATTAATTTATTGATATTTAAAGAGGCTAATTTAAAACCTCGTTGAGGTGGCAACACTGAGGTAGGCTCATGAGATTCCTCAGTATTGCGTTTTGTACATTGAATAGGCACGGCATCGGTGGATAGCGCATCATTTCAACCTAAACTCATCTGAAAGTTCTTAAAAAACTGTTGATTACCTTTAAAATTAAGATGTAGTCCGGGCCGGCGCGCGCGAGGGAGACACGTGGAGAGGGAAGCGCCTGCGTGTCTCCCTCGTTTGCGCCCGTTCTTTCTCGCGCCCATTTATTTCCTAGCGCCTGCGTAGCAGGCTACTCGCATTATTTAGCCAGCGGGTCATGTAAGCGGTAGATCCAGGTATTCATTTATGAGAAGATATCAAATGAATAATTAATATAGATCATCATCAGAAGGAGAGAAATCCGCCTAAGCTTGATGATTCCTTCGTCACTTCTCAATTGGCTGCATAGAGAACTGGAATCTGCAGTTTCTTCAAGTCTAGAAGGAGTTGTATTTTGGGTAGTCAGAAAGTTTGTAGATTTAACTGTCGTAGATTCAGAATCTGGTTCTAATTTTGATAGCCGATAGAGATATAGCCTTTTCCAGGCTCTCTGTTACTAGGGATGACGATAAAGCGAAAGGCACGCGAAAATGCGAGCGCGTGATCTGGGAAAAGAGGTTTCCTTCCTTCTAAATAAAGCTCTTTATTAGTCCGAAAAAACAAACATTCTTGATTACAATAAACAATTCAATAAAATTGAAGAGGCATCTATTAATAAAACAGCGTTTAAAACGTTCGGTCCTAATCTGAGAAAGTACATAGCATCACGACTCCTTAGCAATCTTCTTTTAAAAAATTGGGAGGAGATCTACTAAAGGGCCTTCAGTAGAAGTAGTTATAGTCTTCCATAACTTATTATCTGAGGGAGGCCTCTAAGAGACTTAAAACGGGTGAAAACTCCTCAAGGAAACCAAAACGAACTGTTCTTTTTTGAAACTTGTCAATTTTGGAAAGATACGTATCATAACTAGCAACACCCCATACTGAAATGCCATAAGTAAAAATAGGTATAATCAAAGTGTGGAAGAGGTGATGTAGAGAGTCTATCCGTATAGCCATATTTCTTGCACACTCGTAATATGTGCATACGCCTCCCTGCTTTCGTGTTCGCTCTTCCTGATCTCTGATGAAGACTGAAAACTTTGAAGATTCTTTTTTCAATTTTGTTGGTGGATCCAGGCGATCGCGTCAATCTGGGACTGAGTGCTTACCAAAATTTAGGCTCCTGAATTACGTGAAGATTAAGGGAAAGAACTGATATGGACTTAATTTCCCACAGCAGTTGGCTCTTTGATCTCATTGACCAGTCCGGACCATTACCATTTCTGGATCCAGTTTCGTGCGTTGTGACTGAACTACGCAATAGTACTCTTGTGGAAAAGTCTTTCATTTCCACACCAACTGCAAGAGACTTGTCCTTGGCAAATTGTCTAAGCTTTACATTCTTTGTTTTTTACCTCATCATTCACTTCACATACTTCAGACCACCACTTTCTGTGTCTGTTTGGACCGGTGTCAATTTTGAAAGAGTGTGAATCATGGAGGCTGGCAAAACGAAGCGATTGACGGTCATAAGACAAGGTATCTTATTTTTTGTCTTATACATGGTCAGGGTTTGAGACCTCTCCCATCCTTACACCTTTTTATCACTGACTTGGGCCTGGTATCAATTTTGCCGCAAAGGATGCTGGGTTTTTCAAAATGGCGGCAAAGGTTGAGCTTGGAAGTTGCAACTTTCTAAGATCGAACGTTAATTATTTACATCAAAGTCTTCAAATATACGGACAAAAGGACCCAAATGTACAGCAATACAGGCTAGTCTGGACTGATGGACAAAGCGTATGGATACTGCCTGTGAATTTCCAATCTAACGGAAAAGAAACTTCATGTACTACTACATCAGCACAGGAGCCATCTTTAGTTGGAGAATTTGACGGCTTTGTGTTTGGCGTCTCGTGTAGTGCATTGACATGGGGATCCAATGGATATTTTATTTCAGTTATTTTGAAAGAAAAGGTCGTTGTTTTGTTCAGGCAACCTGAGAAAACTGTGGTCAAGGTCGTGAAAGAGTACCCTACAGTATTTGTTCCTCAATGCTGCGAGTGGCATCCCTATCATCCAATCTTAGCTGTGCTGTGTAAGACTTCAGCAATGCTTTTATGTTTTTCAGAAGAACTAGATTGTATCGTGGTTCCAGTCCAAGCTTCTGACAGGTGATTAACATTTAACATTACTATTGATCAAATTACTGCTGCATAAACTTACATATTGTAAAGATCTATAATCCGAAGTTTGTTTATTTAGACGGTAAGAATTCCCCTTTAACTGAGTGCAAAAATCCCAAAATGTTCTACATTTGATTATGAACTAACTTTTACCCCTAAAGCTCTGTTGGTAAAGTACGTTTTGTAGAGGAAGAAAGGAAAAAAGAACTTCTTTACTACCATATATGGGCTATATAGGTATGTGCCGCTGTGAAGGGTATGGTTTTCAAGCAGTTTACTCTAGGATAGGGTATATAAATCAGAGCGTTTGGGTCTACAATAGGGTATCATTTTTCAGGAAACTGATCGGTTGGTTGAAGATTTTATCTAGACTAGGGATTGTGGTATAAGGTTTTGTTTTGGCTAGACTGTGCTAGTGACCTCAGTGGTTTCTGGAAAACAGCTACCCTAGGATATGGGGGATTTGGGGAGTTTACTCTAGTATAGGGTAGCAAAATTCAGCTGAATTAGCTCTGGTATAGGTTAAGGGTTCCAGGGTTCCAGCGGTACATCCCAACCCAGAAATTCTTAAAGTACCTCCCCCCCCCCCGGGAATCTGGTCAGCTTGCAAAGAAAGTAGTGTAAGTACAGAAGAAGTGTGAAATCAATAATTAGAATTATGCTGCTCATCAAAAAATTTTGGGGCTAGTTGAAATGACATTTGGGCTAGTAAATGCTAGCTTCAAGCTGTAAAATGACTTTCTTTGCACCCTGCATCTGGTATTGCTTTATACAAGGATAGGGTACTAAGATCTTAATTTTATTGGTGCTGTATTTAACAATTATTCTTAGAAATCAAGGTGAATATTGGCAGAATGCAGCAAGGTAAATATTTCTAAAGCCACTATTCACCAAGATTGAAACAGTAATATCAATAATGTCACACTTTCTGTCCTGTTTGCTTACAGCCACAATATCTGGTCTTCCATCTTCTATTATCATTATTATTATTATTATCTCTTTTATCACAGTCTTTGCTGGTGTTCTTTTTGTGCATCAGCCGGGTGCAAACCATGCACCTAGAGTGTCATTCACTCAAGTCAATCATTCTGTTCATACACTGAGCACCTTTCTGAGGATTCGTGTAGATCCCAGCATGCAGATCTTTTGAATCTCTGTCATAGTAGCTCTCTCTGATACTTTCTTGATGTTTTCTACCATACCCTTCTTTACTGTGCGTACATTTTGTAAAACTGTGATTGCTCATAATATCAAGTTGACAACACTTGAAGCAGAACTACAGGTACATTTATGTAACCAAGCGACCTAACTTAAGTTAATTCAATTCAGAATTTTACAGACTTGTTCTTGGAGTAATGATGGCAGAAGTCTTGCGGTAGCAGTAGAGGAAAGTTTATGCATTTTTACATGGACAGAATTAAGGGAACCTAAACAGTTTTCCTTTGTTCAGTGGAATAGTCTGGAGCTGACAGGGAAGATAAAATGCATTGTCACATGGCAATCTTCATCTTTTATAGTTGCTACAGAACTTCCTTTGGACAAGCTTTGTGGTATTAATAAAACTGAGAGAGACTTTTTTGAGGTTGAAAATGAAAGCCAAACTTATCAAAGTGGACCAGACTCCTTTGATAAGAGCTTGGATGATGCTGAACATCCAGTTCTTCTGCAAAAAAAAAATCATGAGCTACCTTCTATGTTAAAGTTGAAGCCAAGAAAGCTTGAGCTAGAGCAACCAGTAGCTTTGGCTCAAGTTATTGCCATTTGTTGTGAGGGTCCCAAGCCATATGAGATGTGCAGAACAAGTATCCAAGGACTTATTTCACCTGATTTGCTCTTGTTTCAGGTTTGCATCTAAAGTAAAATAGATTATTATTTTCCTATTTAGAACTTTAATGCCTTTTACCTGCTCCATACTCATGTCTATTCATTGTGCAATGAAGGTCTGTTTTACAGCTTGCCTGAGTTAGCATTTACTAGCCCAAGAGTCTTTTTAACTAACTCTTTCTCTCTAGCCCAATAGCAAAATCCACTAGCCCTGGACTATCATCAGATATAACTTTTTTTGCCCGCTGCTATATTTCAGAGACTAAAAAATTAATTAGAGGTCGAGTGGTTATTTGAGTTTACACCGTCTTATAGCCAGCCTATACATGTACCTTCATGTGTGACCACCTCTCTTAACCTTTGTAACTCCCAAGAGTGACCAACAGCAATTTTCTGGTAACTTTATCATTCCATATTCAAGAGAAAAGGTTGGGAGAACTAAGAAAATGATCATCTAAGGGAAATAATTTGCTTTGATCTTTTATCAGTTTCTCATTTGGGGAGCAAGGGTGGCATAGTGGTGAGAGCATTCACCTCCCACAAGTGTCGCCAAAGTTCAAATCCTGGCATCAATGTCATACGTAGGTTGAGCTTGTAGTTGGTGATCAGGCTATGAGAGTTGACTCTAGTGGTGTAACGATTAATTGAATTCTCGATTAATTGTGATTATGAACGTTCGGTTCGATTCACGATTCTTTGCTTCCACATTATGTTATGAGAAGTAAGGAACATTTACATAATTGAATCGAAATACGCAAAATCAAATGGAATCGTTACACCCCTAGTTGACTCCCCTCTTCTAAAAAACAAACATTTTCAAATTCTAATTCCACCAAGAATCTTGTAGTCAAAGAACCACTATGTAAATGTGCTACCTCTACCTCTTGTTACTTTTATTATTTAATTTTTATGGAAATGTATAAGATCAGTTTGGAGAATTATTTGTAAGAGGATAATTATTGGAACTTGAAGGGTTAGGCAAGAGGAGGTACATGTATAATGACAAAATGCTTTTTCTTCTTTTCTCTCATACAGCCACTGACAAAATCTGTTGTTGTAGGAAGTCATTGCTGCAGCAAGCTTCACCACTATTCTCTTCATACATCCACTCTGACTGGTAAAACTGAGTTTCAGGCTCAAAAGGAGGTGATAGAACTGGATCCTAACTATAAACCTAAAGGAATATGCACAATTCCTGGAGATGGACAAAGCTTTCTTTGTTTACTTGGGAAATCAAAAGAACCAGCTAACCTGACTGCTTTTCCACCATCCACGAATACTGACCAAATATGATGTTAGCCTAAAGTGTTTCACTACAGTTCCTTCTAAGGACTGTGTGAGAAAATCTGATGGAACCTTTGATCAGCAAGAAAACAATGATCAGTCCTGTGAAGATTCACCATCTTTGAGGCTTCCTGACGGAAGTGTTTTTAACGGATTAATTAAAGTGGTGGAAAATGAGAATGCATCTTTGATCTCTGAACTGAAACCTTCTCATGGTAATGGAGAAATCACTGACCACTCAAAAGAGGTTATTAAAGGTACGACCGTTATACTGTTATACACACAATGTACTATGACTGTTTGATTTATCTCAAAATTGCATGTAGTTTTGCATTTCACCTTGAGGGCATAATATTTTTTTGTCCAAAACGTTTTGTTATTTGGACCTCTAAATGGAGATGCTTTTCTTTCTTTTACACTACTGTACATTGTAAATAAATTATTTACTGCCTTTCTTTTTCAAAGAGTACATCTTGTCTGTGTTTATTCTATTGTAAAAGGCTACAATCCCATACAACTCTAGGTCACAGTTTTGCCTACAAATTTTATTTTGTTTTGCAGAAGACCTCAGCAGTTGTTTGAAACAAATTAAAGAGTTAAGATCAACTATGATGAGTACACTTTCAGAGATAACTGCAAATGTTGCTGCACTGGAAAAGAGAATTATTGAAATGACATCAAATAATATGGATGAAAAACAGAAGTGCCCCTTGTATCCGTTACAAGATGCTGCAGGTACAGATATTTTATTCTAGTTCTCTTTTCTTAAACTCAATGGAAACGCTTTTGTCTCAGAGAAAATTATTGCAAGTCATTGTTACACGTTGTGTCAGTTCTGCCTGGCTCCTTTTTACCTGTGTTCTTACTTCAATGAATCACACATCTGCATGCTATGAATTGCCAGTCATTTTTGGGTTCCTCCAATCCTTGATCAGCCTGGGCCAGGCTCTCCAGTGGGGACAAAAGGGGAAAAAAAAATCGGCGAGCAGGGAAAATAGTTGCTGCTATGGTTTTGCTCATTTTTAAGCAAGGCTGTGCTCTAAGGAAAATTGAAGGGAGCCCAGTGCTCTGAAACTGTAAAATCTAGGGTGCCCAGCACACGGTTTGTATGAAAAATCTGAGATTTTCTAGTTGCCCGAGTGCAAAAGTTAGGCGCCAGGGGCCACCAGGCTCTGCTAGAGCACAGCCCTGTTTAAGCCAAGGAATACGCAAAAAGTCTCGCAAAGAAATTTGTAAATTGCTTGCTCGAAATACATGCTGGAAATCCGTCCTTTTCCAGATATTTCTTCTGTCAACAACAGAGTGAATCTGTCAACATTGTTGCGTTTGACTAATCAGAGCATGATACCAGAATCTGGTATCATGGAATGGCAGCATCAAAGGTATGTCTCCAGGCTCTGTCGCCCTTTCCCCCGCCCCAGTCCACCACTCAGCTCCCTTCACTCGTTGACTTTTGCTGTTTCACCCCATTTTTCTTCCCCGGCCCCGCCCCCCTAGTACAGAGCCTGGTTCCAGGCTACTCCTTTAACCTTTATTCAAAAGCGCGCTTTCATTTCTGAATGAGCTGAATATCATTTGCTGCCAAACAAAGTTGGACGACATTGTGCATGAGCAGGCCATTATTTGTAGGCAGTTATATGCAGGTTACGTGATGAACTCTCAGCCAATGAAAATGAAGAAAAATTTACAACAAATGATAACAACAATTCATTGTGCAAGTGAAAATATTTTTAGACTAGTACCCTCTAGTTACAATGTAAATGAAAGGATTACGTCAACTCTGACATCTTTATTTACAGTACGTAGTTGTGTTTCCCGCCAGAATTTGTCTGTGTGATGTGGACAGATGAACTAACTGGGGCAGTGGAGCAAGAGAATTTCCTTCTTGACAAGGGGCGACTAAAACTTAAGACTGTCAAGAAAGCATTTAACGCTTCTCTGGTACGGATATCTATTGGTAGGTGAAAGAGGAAAATGGGATATTATTAATCTTGTACCAACATTTTTTCACCCCGTGAGGATAATCTACCATTTTTCTACAGTTTGTAATACAGAGTAGGACATAGCTGGAGGAATTGAATTTTAAGATGAGTCAAGTGAGGCCTTCCAAGGGGGGTAGCTGTGTCGCAATGTCGCTTGCTTTAGGAGACCGTTGTCGCCTAATCTACAGCTGCAAATATCGCTGTCGTTTTTTGAAGTGTACATAACTGTACCAGTCATTTTTGTTTTGCGAGAAACTGTTTCGCAACAGGGCTATAACAGGATTTTCATGGTGGTCAGTTGGCAAAACTTTGTGAGCGGCGAAGGATGAACGCTTCTTCTTCTTCTTTAAGGGTAGGCTCCTGCGGGAAAATTTGGAAAATCTGAACCCTCAGAAATGCAATTTCCTGTATTCTGAGTCACTTTTATTGATAAAATGCACAACTTTCCAATGTCACCGTCGTTTTTCACTGTTTAGTATGTCGCTGTCGCATTTTAGCAGCGTAGGCATGTCACTTCTCGCTTTTTAAAAATTCCCATGTTGCCAGTTTTCAGGGCCGTGTCGCATGTCGCTTTTACCCCTTGGAAGGCCTCTCAAGTGCAAGAGTGGGTACAACTATAAAGGAATTTTCGGGTGAAGATGTGCCCAAAATCCCCTCCTTTCCTAGAGCTGCTATTTTTCAGAAACTTCTGAAGTTGTTGCTTTCTTTGTTATTAAAATGAGTTGTGGGTAAATTTAGATTTGATTATTTTTTTATTCCCAGTTTCCCTAGTCTAAAAATCTTCAACCAACTGAACAGTTCCAAGGAACAAGATACCCTATTCTAGACCCAAACTTTCTGATTTCTGACTAAGCTGACTATTGTCTATTCCAGATGAAGCTGCTTGAAAACCATACCATACGCAGTGGCACATACGTGAGGGTGGTGAATAGGGGTATGCAAATCCACCGATCTGTTATGATTTATTAACCAAATGTGCTGTTAAAATGTCGTCTGAATCTGAAATCCGGGCAAAATTACTTTTATTACACACACAGTCCAAAATCTGGGCCCAAAAATGGATGAATCTGCAATCCACTGCAATTGCAGGATGCAGAAATCCATTAAAACCTTGCTTTGAATCCGAAATCCGGGCAAAAATATTTTCAAAATCTGCCGATCCATTTGCCTATTCACCCCCCTCATAAATGCAGCTATGTAGCCTCAGGTGTCTAGGGCTGGAGTTTGAGTTACATGGCCTTTAGTTATACCAGACCTTCACATCTGCAAATTAAACCCTTCACAGTTTGGATTCCTTTATACATGTAGGTGATCTACATGTACTACTGACAGCTTGATTCAAGCTACATTTGGGCATAGTTTAAATAACAGTTTCTTGATTAAAACCTTTTTTTCATGTTGCAGGTAATGTACCTTGTATTGTTTCATCTGGAGAGTGTGGCTTTATCCCCATGAGATTTGTAAAGGGCTCTACCATTCAAATGTCTGGACATTCAAAACATCAGTACAATCTTAGTACTGTTTAGGACAAACAGCTGTATTGCTTTGTACATTTCAGATTTCTGCTTTTCTTGTCAAGTCTTGAGTGAAAGATAATGCAAAAATTTAATAAAAACTATTTATTCTTGATTATTGTTTTTGTTTTCCAATGAAAAATCTCTCTACTGCCATTTCTTCTCAAGTCTTAGTGACCATTTTTTTTTTCTCTCAGGCTTGTCTGACTTATAACATGTTGGCTTGTTATTAACTTTGATATTGTTTAAAAATAATAAATTGCACTATTTTGTTCTAACATGGTAAAGAGGTTTAGAGTTCTTGTTATCTTCGGCATTGCACGTTTGATTTTGAAGAAATAAACATAATGCTAGACAACTTTATGATGGACTCTTAAAACCTTAGTATTAAATAATCTCAGTGTGTTTATCATTATGATTAATTTTCCTGATACAAGAATATTGGTTCCACCTAAACCATCACCCACAATTTGATAGAAACTACATCTAATATTTGTTGGATGTTGTAACTACAATGTGAGTTCTAACCTGTGAACAAGATTGTTAAAAACGCCTGCTGGTTCCATGCAGGTCTTAAACTAACTTAGGAGACACCATAGGTCAGGAAAGAAAGGGACTAACACAAAGTAATGTTTGTACATGTATAATAATGTTATTCTGTAAATTTGAAGACATAGAGGACCTCAGTTAGTTTGTGTAGCAGGTCACAGACTGTCCATTCTTCACTTTGCATGTATCTCCAGTAGTTTTCAACAGCAATGGTTATGTCTCTGTGAGACGATGCAAAATTAAGGTCTTCCAAACATGGGATAGCGCAAGGTTTGTCACCATCCAAGCCAATCCCTACCTTTAGGCTGCCATCTGTTGGATTATATTTCATTGCCCTCTCTTGCTGTAGACCATTATTTGGATAGCTGTAGTAAGCTAAATATTGGTTTAAGAAACAACGGTATAAAATTTCAAATATTTCTATCAGTCTGTTTCCAAGCTGAACGCCAGACCAGTCATATTCCTCAGTGTAGACATCCATCATAAAAACTACTGCAGTTTTCAAGTAAAAGGAAGGGATCAAGGTGTCCTCACATAAAGTACAATTGTTTTTCTTGATTTTTGGAAGAAACATGTTTGCTACATGTTTTGAAAGTTTGTAACAGTCTACAACAAAATTGTTGCAGTGAAATCTGCACAGCTCTGTATTATAAAAGAAACGTTGTCCAACCAAAGGGTTTCGACTGATAACTGCAACGACTCCTGTGTTCAGTCGCATACACTCACTCTGAATGTGGGAAAGATGAACAGCGTGAAAAACGTCACCAACAAGGACAGTCTGAAGTCGCTCGGTGTTAAGAGGAATCCCAAAACATACATCAATAGACAGGGTAAAACCTGAATGTGGTCCAGAAGTACATTGTAGATGAATGGTTAAAGTCTGATTCTTTAGAAATACCCTCATCATGTGCATGTCACTTTCCTGTAACATTTCCCATTCCACTGGTAAATGTTTCCTTAAAGTGTCACGGAAAACCTGGAGGAGAAAAGCATTTGTAAGCAATTTGCCATAAGAAGTATCCACAAAAGAAAACTGGCTCAGGAAAGAAAGAACCATGTCAGACATTTGTTGATGAAGCCGTGTTTGTACTCCAAGTTTGATATACAATAGTTCTGCCATATGTGGATCAGCCAGCACAGGAAGGGCAACATTGACATCGAACTCATCAGGGTGGCCTATCTTGGTACCCTCTGCCATACTTCCGGTTTCTATGATGTAGCAATTGGAGAATATAGGGCATGTTTCCTGCAGTTCAAGGATGGTTTCGTCCATTAAACTTCTTACTAAATGTCTGATGTATTTACTAGTGGCCTCATCAATGCTGATTCTTGGTAACCATTTTTGGATGAAATTGTGTAATACAGAATGTTGTGAAACTGGAAGTTGCAATTCACTTTTAAAATGAGGTATCTCAGGTGTGCTAATCTCTGTATCACATTTAAGGGTTTTATTCACATATCTGTCCGCTGTGTCTTGCTCTGATTCAACAATTGTGGGTTGCCTCTCTTTAGAGTCATCTGCTCCTCCTTTTCCCTTTAAACCAATCTTTGTTTCCACTAGAGTTTCTTCGGATCGCACTTCTTCGTTGATGCAAGTGTCCTTGTTAATACAGTCAAGTGTATCAAGGTCTTCCTTTGCATTTCCACCTTCAGAGCTCTGTTCCGTCTCAGATTCTTCTGCTGCAAGCGGAACTTCACACTCCCCAGCGAAAGAAGTGTTCTTCAGAGTAAGATCCTTGGCTACTATTTCTTTGCTTTGTCTGTTTGACTCCTCTGTTGGACTGTTACTTCTTTGTTCTTCTGAACCCTTGAATGCCTTGCTGTTTGAATTTAAATTAAAACTGAGAGTGTTATCTGGCGTGATACCTGGAAACTGATCATTCTCCTTGGTTTCTCTTTGTTGGTGTTCATCCATTACTTCCGGTTTCGATATGTCGGGATTTCCTTTTGTCAGTGTTGCTTGTGTCTTTTCACAGCTGTTTTCACCTTCATTCACTGTTAAATCTTTTTCTCCTGCCTCACTGTAAATCTTAAGAGCTACTGATACTAAGTCTTGCAGGTCGGATAGCAGGTTAATTGCTCTTTGGATGGAATCATTCATTCCATCTGAGGAGTGCTCGGGCGAGGATTCCTTCGCGGTGTTAGCTTCATATGTTGCCGGGTTTAATTCGTTTTGTTTGGTCTCTAGCAAACTAAAATGATCCCAGTCTCCTTTTTGCGAGGCCTGATTTTCACTGGTCGCGTTTAAAGGCACGCTACGTTGAGTTTGTGGATTGAAATCCCAAGTACTGCTGTCTGTGTTGTTGGTGCGCCAGTATTCATACGGCCACACCGGCCTTGCAACCATCGGTTGCTTCGAGTCTCTCTCTTTAATTTTGACATCTTTTAAAAATCTGGCATGTAATCGTTTTTCAGACGTCGTGGATTCTTCTTTAGCCAGAATTATGGCTTCAATGTGGAAAGGACTAGGGCTAGTTTCTGGGCCAACTTCCGCCATCGGTGAGACGACATAAAATAGCAATAAAATAAAGTAAGCCCGCTGGGCTGATGCGCAACCTGACAAGACACTCAAGCAGGCCAAGTAACTGAAGTAGGCCAACACACAAAAGTAAGCCAAGACACTCAAGCACGCCAAGTTACTGAAGTAGGCCAAGACACTCAAGTATGCCAAGTATTAAACTAAAGCAGGCCAAGACACTAAAGCACGCCAAGTTACTGGAGTAGGCCAAGACATTTAAGTAAGCCAAGTATCTCAAGCACGCCAAGTTACTGAAGTAGCCCAGTACCGCAAGCACGCCAAGTAACTGCCAAGACACTGAAGCAAGCCAAGTACCTGTTAAAGTAAGCCAAGTACCTCGGTACAACAAACTATAGGAATCATATATGAATCACCTAAGGCCACAGGGCCTACTCCGCTGGACAAAGCAACGCGGACTCTAGGAACGAGATTGCACTGGCCGCACAGATTTGTGGTTATTAGCTCCAGTTTCCTTACGGTTGCTCTGGCAAAACAAATATGGCGGATGCATGAGTATTGGCGGGTGTGGGGGTAAGGGTTGATTCCGTTTCAGCTTTGAATCTCGAGGCTTACAATGGATCTCGCTGCAAGAGTTCAGAAAGAACTTGCATCGGAGGAGAAGTGTTTAAAGATATCCTTTGTTCTGACATATTTTGCGTTAATGTAACTGTTATTAGAAACCGGGTATGTGCTCATATTTTATGTTGACAATTTAACTAGTCACTCATGTTGAGGTAACGTTAGCTGGTCTCCAGTAAGGTATTTTTTCTTCTTTAGTTCAGGGCAATCTGCAGCTGCCAATGACTCAATGCTGCTTAAACTTGCGGACTTTGATCTTTTTGCGTTAGAAGTCTTTTATTCCGTCAGAAAATTTAAATATAAAGCCTCGATCTAGTCAAAAGCTATTGAGTTTACAGTCTGCTTAACTGCAAATATTAAGTCCTAGATAAGCAGGTTAAGCTCATGTAAAGCGTTCAAAGGTTCTGAAAGATTTACGCTTAAGCTTACATGTAAGCTTATCTTCGTCTGATCTGTTGGACCGGATTTTCAAAACTTAACCAGATGGCCATTAGCAGGTGAAGCTTTTTAACCCCGATGCATTTGTCACTGACAACTTTAATGATCGAATATTCGACTGTGGAAATTAATTTCCTAATAAAGTTTTTACAGGCTTTGCTCTTTCTTTCTTGGAAACCATTTGAAATTCGTGAGCTATGTCAGTTCGCACTTCTTTTAGATATTTTCTAACTCTGTTTGTTACAGTGTATAATAATATTATGCCATAGTGCAGTGACAGGCATGTGTAAAACAAATTAAATATTCCAGTAGCAGAAGGGTTCTGCAATTTATTATTGATGATCAGTGTTGAAATGCTTCATTCAGATATATACATACTTGTGCTATTTATTGTAGCTCCAATAACTTTACATAATTTTAGGATGTCCATGTACAAACTGTAGCTGTATTGACAAAATATTAATAATATTATCAAGTTAGAGTTTGTGTCAATTCTTCCTAGTACATAACTATTGTAAATTATGCAATATGGATGGACATGGTGTCAACTCCTGCCCTTAACCCACATTTAAATTGACAGTTTTAATCTAAAGCAGCAGACAAGAAACATGTGTATTTTTCTCATGTATGTACTAGTATTGAAATTATAATAATTATGAGGTTCTTCCTAATGCTTTTGCAAATATATTATGAATGTTTGATTACCATTTTCTGTATTTTGTAATAGCAAAACATACAGTTGCCCTTTGTCAAAATGCACAGCCACTGAGGCAAATGCAAAGACACATCATTAGATTGTTATAATGAAAGGTGTCATTGATGTAGACTGCAAGCAGTCTCTTCTTTTTCCTTTGAGTCACATTAGATCAAGAGAACATGTGAGGGGTGAAAAGAAACAGGGGTGCCACAATCTCTCCTCCCTTAATAAAGCTTGTACCATTAATTTGGGGAATATAGTTTTTTGCTAATGGCACATGGCTCTGAGAAAAGAATGAAGATGTCTCATCGTCTATTCATTATGGTATAATGGTGTATGTTAGGGCTCATTTTATTTTTTTTTCTCACAACGGCCATTTTTTTATTCATGATGTTTCAACTGCGTGCTGTTGGTCTTTGATCTAGGTGATGGTGTCAATTTGCTGTGTGGTACTGTTAGTAGCACCTTGGCTGCTAGTCACTATTAAACACAATTATAAACCTCACTCATGGTTGTTAGGTTTTGATCTTAAGTACAGTATTGTTACTGTAAGAAGCTATTCCCTCAGCAGTCCAGTGTCATACCAATCAGCTGCTGTGGTATTTCATCGTAGGCACACACACTACAGGAATCTCAATTCCAATCCAATCAGATGCTACATGAAAACTTATAAACTTTACTATTTTTTTTTATAACGCTGTGTGATAAATAACATTTCCTTAACAATGAATACTGTACTACAGGAGTGCTGATAAAGGACAACAACAAAGTGGACTGCTTGCTTTCTCTTGTTTCAAGAGACTCAGACACTGGGTAATTATTATGTAACAAAATTATCTAAACTGATTGGCTATCAGTAGCCCTGATTTCACCATTAATACATGTAGGACATTATGTAACAGGACAGTATGCATCATGCTTAAGTAACTGGACAGTTTGCTCTACTGCAGTTATCATTCATTGGGTTCTTTTTTGTGTTTTATAGTAAAGAATTTCTTGGGAGATCTTGTGTTTTATTTTTAAAAAGTTAAATTATCACAATTTTGTAATAATTATTACAAAAATATTATTATTAATATTGTTAATTCATGATTAATTAACTCATATTTAATAACTTGTGTGGATTACACATGGGATTGGACTCCCCTCTGCCCTATTACGGTTATTAATTTTATTTTCAAGAAAAAATTTTCAAAGGATTTCGAGTATCACTCTTCCCCATGTTGGCTCAAAAAAGGTCTTGTCCTATGGTCCCAGACCCTTTATAGGTTTTCTTGCTCATTTGTCCAATGGCCAAGTACCAGGCAAGTCATCTTCTAACTAAATCATAGCCTAATACATGCATTCAATGTTCCCGGCAAAAGCAAAATGGAATTGCAGCTTTTCCAAAGGGCAAGGTGTACTTCAAGATTTTTCAAGCTCTGATGAGATGCCAGAGACAGCCCCAATCACCAACCATCTGTACCATCCTCATGGCTATCACTATGATTTCAAGTTGCTGGGTTTGTATGTCACAGGTCAAAATAATATTATTCAGGGTAAAATTTTTTAACCTAGATTGATTCTCAATTTTTTTTGTCTCTTAGCCCTAATTCATGAATAATTAGGGATAGGAAACAATAAAGAAAATGTGGAGAATAAACCTAGGTGAAAAAATTTTAACCTGAATTTAATTTTAAATTTTGACCTGTAACATATATAATAAATTATGCAATAAGGCAAGCAATTGAACATCTAGGAAGGTTTTTTATTTCTGTTTTCCTTTTGATTCCTATGAAAGTATGCGGGGGTCATGATCAGAGTAGCTGGGGAAAAGCCCTGTCCCCTGCCCCTAAGTGACAGCCTTGCATCCTACTATCCCTTTCCACCCTACTTGTATAAAATATTAGCACAGTTAAACCCATCCAGTGTAGAGAGCATTTTCACTCACGTGACCAGCATCTATGCAAATTTGATACCTGGCCTGCAAGAAGTCCACTCAATAAAAGTGAGCACCAGATACACATACATGTATTAGGTTCATATTGCACAGAAAATATGGATGGGGAGAACAATGTGAGACTGTCTGACACCAATGTGTCCTGTAGTGAAGTGTGTTCATTTTATAAATCAGTGGGGTCCACTGAAGACAGGTTTCTCTGTAAGTTAACATAATTTTAACTAACTTTCTTTTTGTTTTTGACAGACTGATCATCTTTCAGTGGCAAAGTGATTCTCAAGAACTTTCTCCTCTCATTCTTTATGTTCTGGCAATCTGTGGACCTTTCTCTTATGCAACTGTTTCTGGTACAGTACAGTCTTTATGATACAATACCGTCCAAAGCAAATTACAAACCCATGGTTGATTACTAATTCTGATTCTGAAGACACCAATAACAGGGCCGTTGTTAAAATTTTAACTTGCCTGGTATGTGCAATGAGTGGAATCAAACTTAGCTAAGACTCTTGGTCTTGGTGACTAGGGGAACTCGCCGGTCCCTTCTCTAGTTCTGGCCCTTAGTGACAACCCTGTCAACCTTTTTGATCAGTGTTTAATGTAATATACCTCTATCGCTTTCTCAAGAAGGATTTCGACTATTCTTTTTAACTTCTTTTATCCATTTCAGTATTCTGTCTGATAAGTACTGTCAGAATACATGTAATACAACGTTTTTTGGCAAATTTACAAGGCAATAAATTAATGAACTTTTTATTTTACTGTATATTCCTCTCACCCATCAACCAGGAGGAGAAGATGTCTCAAAAGAAATTACTGGTAAGGTGTATGATCTTAAATAATAATTATTACTGTATTATATTATTGTTATGACATGGGGACAGCTTCTCGACTTTCAACTCAGTCAAACTGAAAAAAGGGGGCAACATTGCTTAAGACCTTCCAATATGTAGTTGGTACATGCATGACCTTTATTTTAAAAATAAGAAATAAACATTTATTTTTGTGGTTATTGTCGTACATTTACATTGATACTCTTACATTTTTATAAACTACTGCATGTAGACACTGTACCGGCAGGCATAAAGAAGTGCATGCAGGCTAGTGGTAAAACCTATGTTAAAATTACGTCCAGTTTTACATTGTTACTACATTATATAGTTATTCAGAAATAACTTCCTTTATCACTGCTTTTTTTAAATTTTTAGATTTAATTAGATTTCAATTATTGACTGATGATCAATCAAGACTTGTCTTTGAGGTTAAGAAGGATGAACAAGGAAGGAGTTTCCTACATGAACTGAACCAAGCTATAGGATGTAAGAAAATTCATTTAGTAGTTTAATATGTTATGTTGCACGACAGGTGTAAACTGTAACTTCGAACATTGATGTGTTCATTTTCTTTCTTTGAAATAGTTTATCGACAGAAGGCTCATTTAGTTGGAGTACCTGATTTCAAATGGCTGGAGAAATATCAGCAGAACATTGGCAGGAAGAGCTTTTTAAACACAGGTGAGGATGATGCTTTGATTTAATCAGGGCTGTCATTAAGGGTCAAGCAGGGATCTGCTTGGCTACTATGTGTGTAGAAGCATTCACCTCTGAGGATGGAGAGAACCATGAAACTATTAAGGACACTAAACAACTCACAGATTCCACACAGCTGAGGTTTATTGTGCCAACCTAGCTTTGCAGTGATCCTGTTTGTAAGACTTGCTGGGGCAAATGCTCTGGTAGGTTCTGAGTCCAACAGTAATAATAGACCCTCTTTACATGATGTTACAAAGAGGATAATCACTGGTTACTTTGATGGGAAGCCAAAAGAACCTCCTAGCTTTAAAATTCCCAACCTACTCACCATACCCAGCAACTGGAAATCTTAGTGACAGTTCTGGTCAATTGATTTCTTTAGAATCTGTTTGCACTATTGACTAGAGTGTTTGTGTAAAGAATTTCCTTTTGCAGTATGCTAATTATTTGAGACTTGAAACTCTTAACAAATACTGTACTGACACAATTGTTACTTAGATAGTCTTGCGCTGTTATTTACTTGTTTCTGTTTCACTAAATCACTTTGATCAGAAGAATCTAGGATGATGTTAAAAATCAATGAATACGTTACAAGTAATAAAGTATAATAAAGAATTGATGGGAAGTAAAGAAATAATGTTACGCTTTAGGTATATACTGTTTTAAGTTGACAAATTAAGATATTTACTTATTTATATTAGAGTACCAGTTTATTGTCAGTAGTATTTTTGATAACGTTACCGCCATGATATGTTTGGTTTATTTTCAAACAGATGGCTGGCCATGGATTCATCTTGATGAGGCAGGCTCAAGTGGATCTGAAGTAGTTGCAGGTAGGTATACAGGGCTGTCACTATGATGCAGGGCCTGGGGATTTCCCCTGGCTGCTATGCATGATACCCCCAGCTACTTTCAAAGGAAAATAGAAGAAAAGTAGAACCAAAAGAAACCCCTAGATTTTTGATTCCCCACCTACTTGTTGTATTTACCCAGCAACTTGAAATCTTAGCGACAACCCTGAGGTACAAATGTTAGCCTGAGAAAACAGCCAGTATGTTGTGAGGCCACCACTGGTTATGCCACTTCCCAAATTTGGGTAGTGCTTCTGATTAGCTGAAGCAAATTTCCCTTGTGGCACAAGCAATCAGAAGTACACTGTACTACCGAGATCTGGGTAGTGACACATCATCAGTAATGAATTTCTCCACTTGTTCCTAAGATGTCATTTCATGGAAAAACCAGTGATAACATTACAAACTCTTTAGAAATGTATTTCATAGTCAACTTAGACAGTCCCTGCATGGTGTACACTTCTGTGAGAAAGAATTTGTGTGCTGCTTCTCCCTGGCAGGGGTGTAGGGAGACACCCAAAAAGACAGGGTTGTTTGTTGGAACGTTAGAATTACCCGGTATACCATTAAGGTGAACAATCTGGGTGTGAATAAGGCCATTCTTGAACCTTATTAAAGTAGATCCAACACTGCACACCATGAATGTGTTTGTTGGTTGTTTTCATATCTTACCCCGCAGCCCTAGGCAATTTTTTTTTACCTGTTTGGGTAAATATGAGTTTTCCGTCCTCTCATTCCATTCCCACTCTACTTGCCCCTTCTCCACCCCTGTGAGTCTTGTACTGTTCTAAAAAAATAACATCAAAATCATTTCATTTTGGATGGTCACCCACCTCAATGGGTTTTGCATACATTGTATCTAGTCTCAAATTAAATTACAGCCTGTATTTAAGAGTAACTTTTCACATTATTGATCACATGTCCATCTCCATAATGTACTTAGACTTGGGGAGAAAAAGGAAGTTAGAACCTAAAATAGTTCATGTTCTTTTGTGTGGCTTTGGTACCAAGTTGTTCATTGCACTATTCTCTTGTAATTTGTCTGTATACATGTACATTAGTGGTGTGCTGATCATTGATTATAATGATATTATTATTTTCATGCTTCAGAATCCAAGCTTGATGATGCAGGTTTGGACGTGTTTGGAATGCCAGGGTTTTCACCATCGCCCACACTACACCCATCTGTATCAGCGTCAAGCTTATCAGGATTAGATGAGGGAGATAAGAGTGCCAGCAACTCACCAGCCTTGCCTAGGAGGTCCATTTTACCTACAAGCTTTGGTACTAGGGATGGGTTTATAAAGCTTCATTTGGCTGCAAGGGAAAGTGAATACACACATACAGAAAACTTCAAGTAGGTCACTGGTTTATTACCCTGTGAGCAGAGTCTCCTTCGATCTTCCTACGACTTATCTAGGAAGATCAAAGGAGACTCTGCTCGCAGGGTACTGGTTTATAGATTTCTAATGGTACATGTATTACTAAATAAATATATTAGACAACCTAACCAACTTGCAAATACTGGTTTATAATTTTCTTGTTGCATAATGTATCCTCAAAGACATCAGGTCCAGGTTCTTTCCACCTCTATGCCCCCCACCTTTTTTGCTCCATCAAGGGATTGGAAGAAGAGGGACTTTGGGAATTGGGATCATTTAGAGGTGTCCTTTTTTGACAGAAAATTTACATACAGGTTTAGAAGCTTTCTTGGCTAAAGTAAAGTGTTGAGTTGGCTTGAACAAGCCAGAAATGTATGAATATCATTTTGAATTTTTTCCACCTACAGCTGTACAGTCATTGAAACCTTGCTTCCATGCTATAACATGATTCTTTATCAAGAAAACAGGAAAGGTTAATGATACAGTCAAACCCCATAAAAATATGGACACTAAGGGGGCCATAGAAAGTGTCCGTATGAACGGAGTGTTCGTATTAAACGGGTCATGTTATTAAAGTAAAAAACACGTTTTATTTGAATAAAATAGAGCTATAAAACAGGACATCAGCATCATCAAATTAAACCTCTCTAACCTTCACAAAACCTTCATTCTGCGGCTTAATTCAAGGGAAACACTCAAAAATCGCTCATCTATGATTATATAAATTATTCAAAACCGTTCTCTGCAGACATGTAAATCGTTTGATGCCAAAATTAGTCTGAAATTGATGTCTACAAATCATCCTATCCAGTGACTGTAGCGCTGGGAACATTGACGGGCTGTCAACTGAAGGGTTTTTTTTACCTTCAAAAAGAAAAGGTCTGTTGTACAGCACACACACAGGTCACGTGCTGTAGATGAGGAAACCGCCGGCTGCATTTGCTCAAACTTAACTTTGCCTAAATGATATTTAGCCACAAGACAAAGAAAACTGAAAACTGGGTGTCCGTAAAGCGGGATTTTTTTAATAGAAAAAAGTTAAAGCTTTTAATTAGCTCTTAGTTTGTTGTATTATTTTTTATGTAGAGTGTTTGTTGGAACATGGAATGTAAATGGACAGTACCCAGCTGAGGATGTCTCTCCATGGCTCGCTGTTGATAAAGACCCTCCTGATGTGTTTTGTCTCGGGTAAGACACTAATACCGTCAGTTGTCTCTAAGATGGATACCCCTGCACGGTTTGTACAATGTTAAAAAGGTCTTGAATTTTGCTAGTTGTCTTGAAAAGTCCTTGAATTCGGTCTAGGTCCTTGAAAAGTACTTGATTTCTTTATTAGGTATTGAAAAATCCTTGAAATTCACAACCTTGTCTACGCTAGACACCTTTTCTGTAAAACTAGATTATTTTGTCCGAGGAAAATGTGGCTCTGATCCTCGGTATAAGAACCTGTAAGACTCACGGGTAACGTAAAAACATTTTTGTGCATGAACCTGAGTATTTTATTTCTGTTTCTTTATTTCAAATGCCATTTCTGTACCTCAGGTGCAATGGCAAGTCATATATACTCAGTCATTTTGCAAAGTCTTGTTGCGGAAAGTAGTATAAAATAATGTGATCAACGATGCCGAAGAATTGAAAATCGTAAATGACTCCATGACGTGTTTTAGCCAATAGGGTGATCAACGGGGGTTAAAGAATGCCGATTTATTTAATAAACCTTAGTCCTTAAAAACTGTAATTCGTCCTTAAGAAATCCTTGAAAAGTCCTTGAAATTTGTTTGTCTGAAGTGGTACGAATCATGCCCTGGCACTGGCTTTAAGCGTCTGGCAAGAGCAACATCTCTCCTCTAGATTTTTCTCTCTTTCGAGGGGCCAGAAGGAAGAGAAACCTTGATAGGAGGTGTTTGTCTTATAGAGGGTCAAAGAATGTATAATGATGTTCTCTGAAGAGCAACAGGAACTAATTCTTGGGGTAATTACCATGTACGCAGGAAAATCGAAAATGACAGTTGTAAAAATGATTCGCACCATATGGACATTTGTCCGAGGCACACGTGCGAGGGTACACATATGTACCCGTCAAACTTGAATGTCTTGCTGGACTACCTTTAAAAAATTCCTGCTGATTATGGAGGTAGAACTTTGTTTGTACATTCAGTGGGTGTCGCGAGAGGTTTCGTAGTTGAGTAAGTAAAAATAAATTAAAACTAGAATTCCCAAGAGCGTCTTACGCTACACCATGTGCCGTAACATTTTTTCTCTAATTGCATGTAATTCACCCAGGCTGCTAGCTAAGACTCATACCGTAAAATTCCGAAAATAAGCCCCGGGGCTTATATTTTTCAAAGGTCCTTTTTGAGGGGCTTATTTTTGGAGGGGCCTATATTCGGAGCAGCTTCATAAGGAGATTTGCGTTTCAAAATCGATTGGACTACCCTTATAGATGGAAGTAAATGTACTTTCTTTGCTTTGTTTCACTCTGTATTTGAGGGCAATTTTCCAAGTACAAGCTGCCGTGTGGCTTATATTTGGAGGGGCGATTTAACGGTTTTTTTTTTTTTTTGCGTTACCGGTTTGGGGGGCTTATATTTGAAGGGGCTTATACATGGAGGGGCTTATTTTCGGAATTTTACGGTATTTTTGTCCAAAATGGGGCAAGTGAAAGAAGGTCTCTGCTGGTAGGGTGCTACTATTATCATTAAAATTAAAGAAAAGCAATAAAGAAGTAAAGAAGAGTCACTTGTTATCAATAAGTGCATTCAATTTTCCTCTATTTACAAGTTTTCAAGAGCTTGATCTCAGTGCTGAGACTTTGATAAAAAACATCACACCAAGAGAAGATGAGTGGTTAAAAGTGATAATAAAAGGACTTCACCCTAAAGGACAGTACAAAAAGGTAGATGGAAATCATCGCAACTAGCACTAGAGCGATTTTCGTATGACCTTGAAATGAAAATGCGCGAACAAAACAGAAACAACAAACGAACGGAAATAGAGCGATTTGATTGGTTTATCGAACGGGTACAAACGCGCGTGGCGAATGCTCGGGTAAAAAAAACTTCATGCCTGAGAACTTTCTAGAAAACAATCGATACTTCGCTTTGACGTCATACTGCAACACAAGTGGCCAATCGAGCAATGCCTTCTCCATATTAGGGTTTTCTTTGGCGGGAAAACGAAGAGTCCATGTTTTGATCTTTTCATCCATTGGCTTATGAAACAAATAACAAACACTTTAATACCCAAACCATTTTTTAAGGTCATACGAAAATCGCTCTAACATGCATGTAGAATTACTGTATCGTTATTTAAGAAAAAAACTGAACCATTTGATTACTACATTTCATGTCTTTTTTTCGTCTTTGTTTTTGAGAATAAATGTTTTCTTTCTATTTCTTAAGTATCAAGTGTTTCGTTGACCATTATAAGCGAAAGGAAAAAAAAATTGCAGCAAGTAAGAAGTGAATTCCAAGACTGAGTCTTTTGAGGCTAAAAAAGTTATTTTCACGAGGAAGAAAAATAAGCGATAAAGGAAATGCGACATTTCAGGGGCACCCAACGACAATTTTCGGGAAAATATCTGTTCGGAAGACGATTTGAGATCTAGAATTTTTGGAACATTTTTTTTTTGTAAAATTTCTTGCTTGCCTGCCTCGCCTAGGATTTTCGAACATCTACAAAATGGTATAATTACCCATTTTAATCGGATATTTACCCTAAAAAGGCCACCTAGAATTTTCGGGAGCCTTTTCCTGACTGAAATTTTCGAAAAGGTAAGTTTTGATCCCTATAATTTTCGGATCACTAGACTTTCAGCTAGGAAATCCGAACAGATCAAAAGTTTTTAGGGGATAAAAATATGCCTATATCTACCGTTTAAATACTAAAATACGTTCAACAATGATATGTTAAGTGGTTTTGAACTATATCCTCGTTGGGTGCCCCTGACATTTCGACGAAAGTCTTTTTTATCCAAAGCTTCTCTCGTGAGCCGAAAGTAAGTGGATTTTTTAAGAATTCAGTGAGGGAATTTTGCGTTTGATAGGTGAAAACGATTCGTTTGGTTGGCATTTTACTGATGGTTTTTGTGAAAGAGAAACATCGCCCGCATGTTAGTGAAGTTGATGCAGAGACAGTAGCCACTGGCATCATGGGTCTCATGGTAGGAACTACTTTTTCTACTCATATACATTGTCGATAACTGTACTGCATGTGCTCACATTGTGAGTGGCTCCTCTTAAAATGCTCTACAATTGGTATAGGATTTAATACAGGCGAAACCAGTTGTGGAATGGCACACATTTTAGGCATCCTGCTGATGAACAGTTGGGACTTTTGGATCTCTTTAGACTTTTAGATATTTCGAGCAACAGAAATTTGCCGTCTGTTCTCTTTAAATTGGTAGCCTAAGATGCAAACGTATTTTTTGTCGAGCGAAATTTGCTTGTTTATTTATGTTTGTTATGACGTGACCATCGATCTTTCATTTTATCACTGGGGAAGACTGAGGAAAGTAGAAATTACAACCCTCGGGGTAGGTATTGGGGCGAAAGAAAGAGAGGGGGAGGGGATGGCGGTTTCAACATGGCCATTACGCGAAGCAAAACACTTGCACACCCAAAGAAAACGCGTGCAATTCTAACGATTCTCCAGGAAAAGGAGAATTTGTTTCGGAAAACAAAAATCTTATCTTTGGTGATCGTCGTCTTAAGTTTCGTTACCTAATGTCTGGTACTGGGTTCAAGGTTCCTACTGTCTACTTTGTTTTGAAACAGGGTAACAAGGGAGGCGTGGCCATTAGAATACAAATCCACAATACAACCATCTGTTTTGTAAACTCACATCTTGCAGCTCATACGGAAGAAATCGATAGAAGGAATCAGGTATCGA